AAATGTTGCGGCGCCAGTTGACGACAACTTCTCTCGCGTGCTCCAGGGCTTGCTCAAACTGCGATGATGGGACGGAAGCCCAGGTGAACGGCTGGCAGTTTAGGGCTGGTGCAGCGTCGGGGAGTCGCTCAGGTGGCTGAGAGGCGTCCAAGTTCGCAAGCAGGTCAATGTCCTGGGATGAAATGGCAGAGTAGTCCAGGGCGTGCGCATCCCCAGTGCTGTGCGTACCGGAAGGCGGCTGAGAATTCTCTTGGGAGTTTCGAACCTGGGGAGTTTGAGTGCCTGAGCCAGAAGCCGCAGCGGGGCATGAGGATGAAACAGACGTCTCCGCGGCAGCACCGCTGGGTTGTGAGGACGTGGTAGAAGGGTTTCCGCGACCATCGTGGCAGGAAGAGGAGGCCGATATTTGAGATACTCCTTGAACATTCGAATTTCGAGTTCTTGAATTTCGAGTATTAACGGCGGAGGGTACTGGGCACGATGAAGAGAAAGCCAGATGAGAGGCGGCAGCAGCGCTGCCGGCTGTCTGTGACGACGCTAAGCAACAGGAGTTACGACACGTTCCATGGCGATTGGCGGAGCAGTTAGTACATTGACGTCCAGCTTTGGCGCATTTACAGCCTGAACAGGTCGAGGCCTTTCCGCACGTGCAGCATGGCGGCATAGCTATAATATTATTATTATCGTGCTCGTGTCGCCGCAGCCAGCGCCGACGGGGAGGACACCCCCGAGGAGGGCAGAGACCCCTCTGGCGTCGACTCTCCACGTCCCGAGGAGGGCAGCGACCCTCCTGGCGTCGACTCTCCACGTCCCGATGGCGACGGAGACGGAGACGAGACGGAGACGAAGAATTTTCACTAGTTATTATTATTATTACACTGTATAATAATAATAATAATAATAATTTGGAAAGGATTGGGAGAACTTCAAATTCAAATGATCAGTCGGGGAAGTGAACTGCCTGAAAAGAGAAAAAAAACATGGTGGGTCTGGCGTTTTTTTTCTCTTTTCAGGCAGTTCACTTCCCCGACTGATCATTTGAATTTGAAGTTCTCCCAATCCTTTCCAAATTTAATCACTTTCTTTCACCTCTGGTAGTTTCCAGAAACTGACCGTGGTTGGTCCCCTGGGGGAGGGAAAAAGACCCAAGTGCCATCAGTATGTGTGGCACGTGTTGTGAGCTGCCTTTGGAGTGAAAAACTTGTCAGCGCCTTCTAGGTTCAGCCTGGTCCCATAGCTCAGTGGTTAGAGCATTGCTCATGACAAGCAGTGTCCCAGGTTCGTGTCCTGGTGGGTCTGGCGTTTTTTTCTCTTTTCAGGCAGTTCACTTCCCCGACTGATCATTTGAATAATAATAATAATAATAATATTAACTGGTTTGAGGGGAAGAGACAAACGGGAAAAGTCTGAAGAAAAAATTGACTGTCACCACCAGGACTCGAACCAGGGACCTTCGCTTGAAGCCAGCGATGCTCTAACCACTGAGCTATGGTGTAGTCGTCACCCCAGCAGAGGCCGTTCAACATTTTCTTCAGACTTTGTAACTCACACTTCCTGTGAATCCACACAGGCGGGTGGGACGCAGCCCTCACTGTAACCCCCACACTTCACGTACAAACTAGCACGCGGGGAGCCCCAAGTCATAAAATATTAACTGGTTTGAGGGGAAGAGACAAACGGGAAAAGTCTGAAGAAAAAATTGACTGTCACCACCAGGACTCGAACCAGGGACCTTCGCTTGAAGCCAGCGATGCTAATAATAATAATAATAATAATTTAATAACGAAGGTACGTGTTGGGTCGTAAGTATCCACGCAAACACACATCCAGTCAAAATAAGGCACTTGTCAAAGTTTCAAATAATAATAATAATAATAATAATAATCTTCACTAGTTTGAGGGAAAGAGACAAACGGGAAAAGTCTGAAGAAAAAAATTGACTGTCACCACCAGGACTCGAACCAGGGACCCTCGCTTGTTGCCAGCAATGCTCTAACCACTGAGCTATGGTGTAGTCGTCATCCCAGCAGAGACTGTTCAACATTTTCTTCAGACTTCATAACTCACACTTCCTTTGAATCCACACAGGCGGGTGGGACGCAGCCCTCACTGTACCCACACACTTCACGTACACTCTAGCACGCGGGGAGCCCCAAGTCATAAAATCTTCACTAGTTTGAGGGAAAGAGACAAACGGGAAAAGTCTGAAGAAAAAAATTGACTGTCACCACCAGGACTCGAACCAGGGACCCTCGCTTGTAGCCAGCGATGCTCTAACCACTGAGCTATGGTGTAGTCGTCATCCCAGCAGAGACTGTTCAACATTTTCTTCAGACTTCATAACTCACACTTCCTTTGAATCCACACAGGCGGGTGGGACGCAGCCCTCACTGTACCCACACACTTCACGTACACTCTAGCACGCGGGGAGCCCCAAGTCATAAAATCTTCACTAGTTTGAGGGAAAGAGACAAACGGGAAAAGTCTGAAGAAAAAAATTGACTGTCACCACCAGGACTCGAACCAGGGACCCTCGCTTGTAGCCAGCGATGCTCTAACCACTGAGCTATGGTGTAGTCGTCATCCCAGCAGAGACTGTTCAACATTTTCTTCAGACTTCATAACTCACACTTCCTTTGAATCCACACAGGCGGGTGGGACGCAGCCCTCACTGTACCCACACACTTCACGTACACTCTAGCACGCGGGGAGCCCCAAGTCATAAAATCTTCACTAGTAATAATAATAATAATAATAATAATAATAAAATCCTGGCGCTAAACCCAATCAGTTTTGAGCTCAACCGATTGCCTTTGGGATACAGAGTCAGCTGCAGAGACGCCGAGTTGTCTATCAATCACTCTTGGTACATGGACGACATTAAACTCTATGGGAAAACTACAAAGGATGTGACTACCCTCGTGTCTACCGTGTGTGGCGTTGGTGATGACATCGGCATGAATCTCAACCCGGCCAAGTGTGCCGTGCTGCACGTCAGGAGAGGAAAACCAGATGAAGGATGCTCTATCCAGGTTGGCGATGAGACCATTGCAGAGTCGCTACGACTCAATGAAACATACAAGTACCTTGGAGTAGTGCAAGCAGCCATGATACCTCACCCGAAGCTCAAGACGCAACTCACTGCAGAATACAAAAAGAGATTGTATTTGCTTCTTAACAGTGGATTGAATGCGCGAAACATGATCAAGGCCATCAATACGTATGCTCTGCCGGTTATGACATATAGTTATGGAATCGTAAATTGGACCGAGGCTGAAATCAAGACCACAGATCGAGTGACAAGATCAGCCTTGACTGCGTCTGGATTTCACCACCCCAAAGCCTCAGTCAACAGGCTCTACATGAAGAGGGGAGATGGAGGCCGGGGCTTGGTCTCTTGTGAGGATATGCACGGCCGGAGCATGTGTGGCCTGGCCCGCTACATGAGTACCAGCCCAATAGACAGAATAAGCCTGCTTTATCAGTATCATCAACAAAAACCTACAACAAAAAGCCACTCAATAACTGCAAAGGCCGCTAAGTTCCTGTCGAGTTTGGATCTGCCAGCAGCTGGACCAGCTTTACCCAATAAGCATACCATTAAACAAGCGTGCGCTGAGCGAAAATCCAAAACACTTTCCACTATGCCGCTGCATGGGAGGTATTGGAGCCGATTGGAGGAGAATCGCCTAGATAAGGAGCTTACCTTCATGTGGTTGAAATCAAGGGCACTGAAACCTTCAACTGAAGGCATGATTATGGCAGCACAAGACCAATCCCTCAAAACGAAAAATTACCAATACGCCATAATGAAGTCAATTCCTCGAACTGATGCCAATTGCAGGCTTTGCAAGGGCAGCTTAGAAACAATTGACCACATTGTCAGTGCCTGCCCAGTTCTGGCTCGGACCAGTTACATTGAACGACATAACCGGATAGTAAAGTATGTGCACTTCGAAATGTGTAAAGCACGAGATCTACCTACTGGTGCTTCACGATTCGACCACCAGCTCAAGGCATTGGTCAAGAGTAATCAGTATCGCCTCTATTGGGAGTATTCGGTCCCAACTGACCTGAAACTATCAGCAAACAGGCCCGATCTGCTCCTTGTTGATGACAAGGAGCGCATCGCCTACATTATAGACATCAGCGTTCCTGGTGAGAACAACATCAATAAGAAAATGGCTGAAAAGCGCTCGAAATATTATGATTTGAAGCGGGAGATTTCGAGGATTTGGTCCCTCAACCAGGTTGACGTGGTCCCTGTGGTTGTCGGTGCCCTGGGAGGCTTGGTGGGCGAGACTCCTCAATGCCTTCGGACTGTGCAGGGAGGAGACCTGGCTATTGTGCAACAGGAGGCTATACAAGGTTCGATTAAAATACTGAGAACTATCCTTAACATGTAGATGCACCTCTGCTGCGTTTGCATGTTCAATAGCTAAGAGACTTGAATAACGACTGATAAAGACTGATATTTCCTTTGTTACTACTCCCTTCATTGGTTGATGTATTTTGCCTGTCGCTGCAAATACTTTATTGTTGTTTTGATGTTGGAGTTCGGATTGAGTTTCTTTCCTTTCTTCCTCTTCCTTCAACTAGTTCTTGTCCCTTTGGTTTTTAGGTTTTATTTATTTATTTATTTTTGTTTTTGTTTTTTCACTTTCTTTTTGCTGTCCCACCCATGGAAATATTTCCCGGTGGGTCTGGCTTATCGCCTTCGAAAGAAGTGAATAAAGGAGAAATATTAATAGTGTGCAATTTGAAACTCGGATGTTGAGCCATAAATAAATGTGGAAAGGAAAAGGACATTATGGATACGAGTTAAGAGTAACTCTCCATCACTGTAACATGATACTATATACAGTCAGAAAGTACAATAACTAGGCACAGTGATGGAGAGATACAGTGATGGAGAGTTACTCTTAACTCGTATCCATATGTCCTTTTCCTTTCTACAATAATAATAGTAAAGCTCATTTTCTGCTCTCCTGTATGTACAGCCTCGTTCTTTGATGCCTCGCCAACTATACGTAAGTATGACAATAGTATGACAACGATAGAATTCCACCCCACCCCTATTGCCACAGTTTTTTTCCACTTTTACGTGGGCTTTGGGTTTGGTATTGTTTTTTTCCCGGTGCCGAGTTTTGGCCAGTTGTTTCACAGGGAAAAGCAGGGTGACGTCTGCTTTTGACCTATCAGATCTTGGTAGAAACTTCCTCTTTTGGTTGATACGTTCTATTCATTCCACCCAGAGCTGTAGATTGTATTCTTCTCTAGATGTGTTAGACGGTATGCTGCTTGTGGGAGTCGTTTTATTGACCTTTCATACAAACGTCCAGGCAACTTCTCCATCGTGCTCCTGATTTATATTGGGCATATAAACCCCAGCTCAATATAAACCTCGTATAAACCCCATATATACCGTTGCCCCGGGGTTAAAGCTGGCCTAAGAGGAGTTGACTGTCAGTTTGTAAGACGGTCAGCATAAGTAGAATACATTCCACTAGTACGCTTTTACGTGAAATATAAACCTTAGCGCATCGGTTTCATCACTCTTCTATATTGCCATCCACTAAGGCTGCATTTACATGAGAATTTTGAACCCGGGTCGAGTTCAGCCCGGGTTGAAAGTCTTTATGATGGAAAAATAGGTGTGTGTTTGCATGAGGATAGTTGACCCAGGTAAATTACTGATTTGCTGCCAAAAGTCCACTTCTAGAGTCCTGTATGGTCACTTGAATCCTTTCGCGCGAAATTTGCATGTGCAGTGATTCAAACCTGGAACGAGACACACAAAGAAGTACGTTAGTGCGATTTCTGACTCGGGGTTGATTTCAACCCTCCCCTTAGTACGATTTCTTGCCCGGGTTGATTTCAGTCCTCTCCTTGGGGGAGGGTTGGAATCAGCCCGGGGCAAAATTTCAACCCGGGTCAAGCGCAGTGCGTCATGTAAACATGGCAGTCAATCGGTGTTCATGGCAGGTTGTAACTTGGCCCGACTCAACCCGGGTTGAAACTTGGCCCGAACTCAACCCTGATTGAAACGCCTTATGTAAACAAAGCCTTAAAGGGGAAGTTAAGGCAAAAATTAAAATTTCACCAGTTGTAATCTTCGGGGTGCTGAGTCGAATGGTCTTGGTCCGAGGAAGCTGAGACGCTCCCTTCCTACTTGAATCCCAATCGAACTCGCGCACTTCCACCGAAACTGGGTGACTGCGCCCTGCTAGATGGGGATTTGTATGCAAAATGTCACTAAAAGCGCCCTTTCGTTCTTATAAAAGCACGGATGACCGCGATTGGCCCATATGTTGTAGTCTTTTGGATGCTGAGTCGACTGGTTTTGGTCCGAAAAGGCTGCGATGCAGCGTTCCTCCTTTATTCCCAATCGAACATGGTCGAACAAGTGGTCACGTGCTCCTGCGTACACCAGTCACCTGGTCACCGTGCCTGCAGGGTACAACTTACTAGCCTGTTTGACCTTTTTTGGGTGCAGTCCTGTCACTCGAGTTGAACTCGAGTTGAACCTTGGTGTGAAAGTTGTCGCCTGCTGGCGTGGTGACCAGGTGATTTGGGCACCCAGGAGCACGTGACCGCTTGTTCAACCATGTTCAATTGGGAATAAAGGAGGAACGCTGCATCGCAGCCTTTTCGGACCAAAACCAGTCGACTCAGCGTCCAAAAGACTACAACATATGGGCCAATCGTGGTCATCCGTGCTTTTATAAGAACGAAATGGCGCTTTTAGTGACATTTTGCATACAAATCCCCATCTAGTAGGGCGCAGTCACCCAGTTTCGGTGGAAGTGCGCGAGTTCGATTAGGATTCAAGTAGGAACGGAAGGTCTCAGCTTTCTCGGACCAAGACCATTCGACTCAGCACCCCGAAGACTACAACTGGTGAAATTTTAATTTTTGCCTTAACTTCCCCTTTAAGGCCGATTCATACTTCATTTCGCGTACAGGAAATAGTTGAGTTCAGATCAACTTTTTTTGCAACGCTTTTCCGGTACTCGAAATGACGTATGAATCGACCTTAATTCGTGTGATCCTTGGCTGGTCCTATATTACCCATATTGCCGTAATATCGACCGCTTGTATCGACTGTTTATATCGACCACTCAGGCATTGAAATCCTTCGACTTTGTAGGGACTTAAAATTTTTCTCTCCACTTCAGCAAGAAAATTTGAAAGAAAGAAGACAAAGGAAGAGAACAAGCAGAATTCGAACCCACAAAAGTATCTATCTCAAGCAACCGCATATACCACCCAGCCACTGTGCCGCAGATGCTGAACTATGTTGTTCTTACAGTCTTGAACCTAAATTATGCAACATCCTGTGTACACTATGGTACAAAGCTATACTAAAATGGCTATAATAGCTCCCAAGAATCAAATTTAGGGGATATGGCAATCATGAAAATTTATAGAAAATAGAAAGGGCCGAAGGACCGAATCGTGATAAATAGGATATTGACCTCGACTTGTTTGTTGGTAAAACAATAAAGCTGATTTCCGACAAATATTCTACCGTAGGTATTCAACATGGATGTGCGTGTGTGTGTGTATGTGTGTGTGTGTGCTTGTGTGTGTGTCATAGCTGTTCGCTATCATTGCTTCCGCGATGGGCATGTCTAAGGTCTGAGGCATGCTTGTGTGTGTGTGTGTGTGTGTGTGTGTGTGTGTGTGTGTGTGTGTGCGTGTGTGCCCGCTGCTTTCGGTCTGTGCAAGGCCGCGGTCGTCACCGGTGCTCGAGGACTGGCCCGCGCCCGACTGCCCAGCAGCGTAATTCGTTCAGCCATGTATGCGTGTGTTCTCGCCGGTTCCGTTTGCCCCACCATCTACGGCGTCATCAGGCTGCGTGCTCCATCTTCCTCTCTGATGCCCCTCCGGGGCCCACGTGACCCCTGTGGCAGTGGCTCTACAGGACAGGACAGGGCAGGTGTGCGTGCATGCGTGCGTGCGTGCGTGCGTGTGCGTGTGCGTGCTCTTTTTCAAACTGGACAGCCGGAATCAGATGTCCCTACCACCCATCGACTATCATCAAGTACTTCCCCGTGGATATGACATTTGCCAAAGCAACCTTACATTGCAAGACGTTCAATGCAAAGATCGCATCTAAGACCTCGTGCGTGCAGGACTTCCTGCGTCCCAGGGGCAGCTTTGCCTGGTTGGCCACCCAACACGGCCATTTACAGTATGCGAGTGACGAAAAACTTTATGATCTAACATCTGACCCAGCACCCAAGCACAAGGTTGTGTGTGAACTTGAATCGGGTAAGCTACTTTAACCATAGGTCAGTGTTGTTCGCTTGCCTCACCAGCACAGGCTTGCTTTGCACCCCCTACTCTCCTTGCTGTTTTGTTATTGTTTATTCTGATGTCTGTGTGCGTGTGTGTGTGTGTGTGTGTGTGTGTGTGTGTGCGCGCGAGCATGCATGCATGCGCGCGTATGTGTGCATAGGCATGTGCGTGTATGTGTTTGCGTGCACGTGTGGGCCTGAGCGGTTCTCTTCACTGTTTTTTTTAACCCTTTGTGTACCAGCCCCATCTCGAACCGTACCATATGGTACGGTTCGCTGCACTCCAATCAAGCGCGCCGTTCCCCGCCGCCGTAGCTCCTATCGAGCCGCGGTTTTTTGCGCTCGACAGCTGGGATCCCACTGAAAATTTTGATGTATGATATTGGCAGGTTGCCATTTGAAAGTATGGAGAACGAACGCGTTCAAAAATATGCTTTTCAGCGCAAACAATTGTCGCTGTTTCGATCGTGTTCTCGCTCAGTTTCTCTGCTTGTAGCAAAGATGTAGCTTGTTCTAGGTCATGTCGACGTCTTCTACATGTGGTGGACGATTGGAGAGATCGGCTGTGGCGATATCATCGCGGAATGCAACTCAAAATTGAAAATTTGTATCGCTGATCTCATCGCAGTATTCGCTCTCAAAACAGGAGCGAGAGGGAGGGCAGCGATGGCCTAAAATCGTCAAGGCAGGCGTAATTCACCAGCCAGCGACTGCTTCTTGTCTTCTCTTTCACTTACCTTACGCTGGATGTAAGTAGATGAAGAAAAACATAGATTTCGTATCTGACACAAGAATTCAAAATTTGCAATTTTGAACCAATTGTTTTACCTCAAATGTGTGACAATATGACCATATCCCTGGTATGTTGTTGCTCTTCATGCACTGAGACAACGCTTTTGAGGTTGTTTTGTCCCTATGTTCCCAGTACATGAGCACAAGCTAATTCTCAGTCTATTTTTTTGTGATACCCTGGTTGGTCAGAAATATGCACAATTGGCGTGTATCTTTGGTATTCCACCTATGACCTTCATATACTACTGCATACTGTACCAATATCCATGCTTACCTGGGTGCAGTGATACATATGGAGTCAGGAAAACACAACTTGCATATACAAAAGTCGTCTAGATTTCATACCATGGTTGCTTCTTTGGCTGCGATAGCCCCTTACATACATTAGATGGCTGGTACATAAAGGGTTAAATAAATCCACGCTCGCACAACGGAACTAGGATAATGTAATTGTTATACATATGCGTGCCTACACACCCAATGCTTTATCCACATATCTGTCTCCTTCTCGCTCAAATCTGTCTGTACGTGTTTATGTGCACTTGCTCTTTTCTGTGCATGGGAATTTAGTGCAAGAAAGTAACAAAGTTTTTGTTTCTGGAGGAAGTACATATCTCCCTCCTTCTCGCTCAAATCTGTCTGTATGTGTATATGTGTACGGGCTGTTTTCTGTGCATAGAGAGTAGCTACATGTGTGAGAAAAGCAGAGCTCACATTGCTGTGTATGCCAATACGGCAACTTTGTCACAGGCGAAGGAGCAGTGCAGGCGCCTAGGCGGACGGTTACCCGCTGGAGGTGATGAGGTCGACTGCCTAAATCACGCTTTGACTACAATGAGGGGAGGTTCTCCAGCCAAGGGAAACAAGCCATGGGTAGAGAAATATGATGAACAACCACTCAATGTGGCATCACCCAGCTACACTTTGCATGACAGCAAGGAGAGAGCGAAGTGGCATGTCGCACGACAAATGCACACTGTGGCATGTGCTTTCAATCTGAGTAAGTCAACCACATGTGTTCATCAGAATTTCTCGTTTTAGCAGTTGACAGCAAGGAGAGAGCGAAGTGGCATGTCGCACGACAAATGCACACTGTGGCATGTGCTTTCAATCTGAGTAAGTCAACCACATGTGTTCATCAGAATTTCTCGTTTTAGCAGTTGTAGATTTGTTTGTATTTGACGAGACGGGACCACATGACGCTTGCCGACGACTGCATGAACAGTTCACCTGCCACACTCCACGATAGCAGGAAATGTTACTGTAAAAGCCATATATATGACGAAGTGCTAACTCTAACGAGTTAACGAGGAGAAATCTGTCGTGTAAATAGACATCGTTATACAGAAATCGATACATATACTGTCCTATTGAGCGTTGAGAATGAGTGAAAATCGTTACCTTTGGTACACGTGAACTAGTCGATTTTGGGAAATCGTTATATATGCGCCTGGTTAGAATAATGGCTTTCACAGTACTCCTGAAAAGACTCTCGCCTGGTCAAATGAAGAACCTAGTACACCCGAATGTCTCTTATCCGGACGCCTCAGATACGGGCACGTCTCTCTACCGGGCACCTTCAGCTCGAGTTCCTATGGCAAAAAAGCTTGGAATTTGGGGGATTTGAACTTTTTTCGTATGCGCAAGTGCTTTTTTTGTCACTACCAACCTGTGAAATCCACCCATTTTTATCAATGGATTCTTCCTGTAACCTGAACATGTGCAATGCCTGCCAAATAAATTTCTTTAAAAAATGATAATAATAATAATTATTTGAAACTCGGATGTTGAGCCATAAATAAATGTGGAAGAGAAAAAGACATATGGATACGAGTTAAGAGTAACTCTCCATCACTGTAACATGATACTATATACAGTCAGAAAGTGCAATAACTAGGCACAAAACTGACAGAGTACTGAAACATTCGACGTCCTGACACCTAGCTTCAACACATCTCCGTAGCGCTAACCGACACCCAAGTTGGGTGGTGTGCTGCTTTGCTGCTTCGAATTGTAGTTAGACCGCTTTGTCAAATATCGTACTGGTCTCGTCATCGTCCAGTAACAATCGACATTCTTTGTTCCGTTGGGACTGTAGCTTTTGCTCGTTTTCGTTGCGCTTGCCTTCCCCTCTTTGGTCTTTTCCATAACCTTGAACCTTCCAAGTTGGAAGGCTGTCGGTTAGCGCTACGGAGATGTGTTGAAGCTAGGTGTCAGGACGTCGAATGTTTCAGTACTCTGTCAGTTTTGTGCCTAGTTATTGCACTTTCTGACTGTATATAGTATCATGTTACAGTGATGGAGAGTTACTCTTAACTCGTATCCATATGTCTTTTTCTCTTCCACATAATAATTATTATTATGATAAAGTACATGGTAGATGAGTTATCCTGAGATACGGGCAAATCTGAGATACAGGCAAATCTGAGATACGGGCAAATCTGAGATACGGGCAAATCTGAGATACGGGCAAATCTGAGATACGGGCAAATCTGAGATACGGGCAAATCTGAGATACGGGCAAATCTGAGATACGGGCAAATCTGAGATACGGGCAAATCTGAGATACGGGCAGTGCCCGGTCCCAAGGTGCCCGGATAAGAGACATCTGAGTGTACTACCATGATTTAACTGACCTATTGACTACTGGATAAGTACAAAATTTCGTTTGGAATTATCTTTCGCTATATTCATTAGGAGGCATGAACTCACTAAAGTTTGTGCCAAACTGAAGTTTTTTTCTGAACGTTCGGGGTGACAGACCTCGACCAAAAACGGAATTTAGTACGTAATAAATCTCCTGGTGGAGTGATATAACGAACGATTTCGTGAACGCAAATTTGTACTTGTACAGTATGGCAGCAAAGAACAATTTCTTGTTTTAGTGCCCCTATGAAGGGAAACCATCTCAGAATTTTACTCTAAAATGGGATTTTGAGCTCCCCAGCTCCTCAGTCCTCCTGGATATCGACTTTTAAAACGTAGGTTATAGGAAGATCGTAAAGACAAGTCGCTACACTGAGGCCATATATAGCAACACCATTTGTGTGCATACGTTAACCGACTCCACTTGAGCAAGTATAGGGCTCTTGAGGAAAGTTGCGCCTTTTTCAAAAGCATTCTGTTCAATGCTTCTTCACAAAGCTGTTTTTTGGGGTATTTTTACAAGGTACACAGCTCACCGGCAGGCACGTTTGGCTAGCGCATGTCATCACATACATTGTGTGATATCCTTACTAGTGAGCTACCTCAAGTGATAGATCATTATCTTTCTACTCCTCTACTCTAAGTTTGTATCAGCCGCGCATGCATTTCCGTTGTGCTGCTGAGCTTCCCTGTCGTTCTAGTTCGGCGTTCTAGCTTTGATGTTAAAGTCAACAGTTCCCTTTTGCCTTGTCCTGAACTGCTCTGGTGTGATCATAATATTTGGCGACGAAGTTCTTGATTCAGCTGCCATGATGAGCACAGTAAAATCATTGAACCCGTTTGATTTGGAACCGCCTGAGTCAGTTGGCCCTCGTTGGGAGAAATGGCTGGCTCGTTTCGATAATTATTTGATTGCTGCAAACATCACGGAAGACCAGCGGCAGAGAGCCCAGCTCTTGCACGGTGGCGGTGAGGAGGTGTTTGATGTCTACCTCACCTTTGACAGCAGTAGTATTACAAGTTACGACGACTTGAAGGATGCTCTGACGGCTCACTTCAGTCCGAAGCGCAATAGGGAATACGAGATCTCCTTGTTCCGCCGTGAGAAACAATCTCAGTCGGAGACCCTTGATAGCTACGTAACTCGTCTTAGGCGTTTGGGCAAGCACTGTCAGTTTGCAGATATGGACACAGAGCTAAAGTCTCAGGTCGTACAGCACTGTGTGTCGTCGAAGGTACGTGAAAAGGCTTTCAGGGAGAGCAGCATGTCATTGGCAGACCTCCTTACTTATGCACAGTCAGTGGAAGTCACAATGTCGTCTGTGGCAGCCATGGCCGGGGCCAGCAGCTTCAGCAAGCCTGAACATCCCCAAGTCAATAAGGTGGAGAGGCGACACCCATCAAGTCGTGACCAGCCCAGTCCTTCCAGTAAGACCGTTCGCAAATGTAGCGGATGCGGGGGGAAATGGCACGACAACCGCTCGGATTGCCCAGCATGGGGCAAGACGTGCAAGTCCTGCAGCAGGTCGAATCATTTCGCAAAGGTATGCCGGACGAAGGCTGTGCGTCAGTTTTCTGAGCAGAGAGCCTCTGAGTTCGCATCACCTGACCAGACGGCGGAATACAGCGTTGAGCTGCACCACACCAGTTGCTCGGGTCATGTGCGTTCCAACGTGGATCCTTATAGGTGGAGTGTGAGTCTTGCTGGCAATCCTGTTGTGTTTGAGATAGACACCGGAGCGGCAATAACAATAATCAACTAAGCGGAGTACCAGACCTCATAAAAGACCTCGGCTTCGCCGAGGTCTTTTATTCGTTCATTATTATTGCAATAATAGATACATACAATGTAGGTCAGTGAGCGATCTCATCGCCTGTTCAATGTGAGTTGATCAGGTATGATCAGGTAAGATTGCAATACAACATCAGCTTCATTAGCAACCGACAACAGCTGTACGTATAATTAGCAAAGAGAATTTATGTACTAGTAAGCAGCATATTGACTTAACATTAGTGCACAAAGGAAAACATGCGGATGTGGTGGACTGAGTTCCGTGAACTACATGCGGAACTCCATGCAAACAATCGCGGTTTCCACTCAGCCCGATGTACAGATGGTTTTTGGAAGCAGCGTGTCAGTAGGGTATGATACCCCATCTGTGGCAAGGGCCGTCTGGTCGTATCCGGAACGGGTGAATCCAAACCAGGCAATTCCACTTCTGAACGCCTTGATCACGCACGTGGCGTATTCGTAAGGGGAAGAATCGGGCTGTTCGCACTGAGCTTTATCAACAACGATGAGTTGGAGGAACTCTTGCATGCAGGGCTTAAGTAGTGGTCCTGGCACGTCAGTTGCCCTCTCCTGACATGCATCCTGAGCCTCCTTCATAGTGCGACCTTCTGACGAGGGAGAATTAGCCAGGTAATAGAGTTTCACGTCTCCCTGACAAGGGTGTTCTGCACAATGACAGCACATCAGATCGAGTACAGCATTCCATTCATACAAAAACGATCATGTATGGCTCTGGTTAGCTCCCATTTTTTGGTGATTTTGGATGACTTTATCCTACACAGTGCAGTAATGCTAAAGTTGGTATGGACACCCCGAATTAATCACTAAGCTCCATGTTGATGTAACGATGATGGACAAGTTTTGTACATGAGCAAGTGGTTTCGCACGACGTACTTTCGGTTTGTGACAGTTTGTCTTCGCTTACCTTCCCCTGTTGACGTATTTGTACATACCTTTGTGCCTCCCAAGTTGCCTTGCGTTTTCGAGTTCTCGTTAGATCAGTTTGTCCAATGGTGTTACTAGTCTCGCCATCATCATCCCGTAACGTTCGAAATTCTTTGTCGCCGAGGCACGTAGCCCGTGCACATTTTCGTGGCACATCCATTCCCCTCATTGGAACTTTCCGCACCTGAGTCTTTCAAGTTGGAGGGGTGTAGGTTAATGCTTCGTAGATTTGTTGGAACTACCGTAAAGTACCGCCAGAGCGCCCCGTCTCGCGAGAGCGCCCCACCTTGATTTACAGCCAAGGAAAGAAAATCGTATGGCAGAATGCTACTAAGTTTGTACGATGTGAGAACCTTCGTGCCGTTCAACATTTTCTTCAGACTTTGTAACTCACACTTCCTGTGAATCCACACAGGCGGATGGGACGCAGCCCTCACTGTAACCCCCCACACTTCACGTACAAACTAGCACGCGGGGAGCCCCAAGTCAAAAAATATTAACTGGTTTGAGGGGAAGAGACAAACGGGAAAAGTCTGAAGAAAAAATTGACTGTCACCACCAGGACTCGAACCAGGGACCTTCGCTTGAAGCCAGCGATGCTAATAATAATAATAATA